CCATCCGTAACCTTTCCAAAATGTGATGTCAATGAAACTGCAGCTGGTTAAAGGGCTATGTAGGGCAAAAAGTGGTATTAGTGGCTAATAAAGGCTAATTCTTTTGCAAGCAAAATTAGCTCGCTTCACTAGCTTGTTATGACTTGAAGTGTCTGGCCATTGAACTATGCATCTGGCTCATTTGTTGATCTCAAAGAGATCACACCCTGACTGACAGCTGTAGTGGACTGGAAGAAAGTAGCCCAAATGAGTAAGAACAAGAGGACTTCAGTTTGTGTGACTTTGGGACAGTAGCAATCCTTGCAAACAGCCTTAATAAGCAGAAGAGAAGAATCTGACAAAGAATGTATGTGATATGGATCCTGGCTTAGGGCAGTAATTTTTCCTAAATGACTGGTTCCTAATGCTCAGCTTTATTGCCTGGAGATGCTGCCTCCCAATCCCAGTATACACAACTACTGAAGAGACACAAATGTCCAGTAGCTGATTACAACAATCCCAAATAATCTCAAGGGGACTGATTTTGTGTAAGTCCCAGAAATTCCTGTGATACTCTGTAGTAATTCAAACTGCACCAGAGTAGCCTAAGCTCTGTGGATGTGTATTTATTTCTAACTTGAGTTGTTTTGGGGTAAACACCACATCAGAGTGCATTTATTATCAAGTTCCTGTTGCTGCACAATGTGTCTGTACAGATTCTAAACCCCTTTATCAAAAAGGCTCATTTCCTTTTTTTTTTTTCTTCTTAATCTCACATTGGTTTATCCAGAGCTGTTGTCCCTGACTTCCTTTAACTTGCTCTGCAACAAAGATCTTTTAGTGTCTTCTCTGCATCCTTTCTTTCCTTAGCACATACTTAGAAATGTCTGTGTATACACAAATACATGCGCATGTTCATGCATATTTTAATCCATTTCTGCTTCAGTCCTGCAGCCTTCTGCCCGGTCAGATCAACCAAGGGCTCTTGGGAAAGTTTAGTGCTAGGGAGCACCAAAGCACATGTTCCTTTTGTACTTTGAGCGCTTCAGAAAAGTTTTAATGCCTCCTTTATTTGTGCAAAAATTGCTCAAACATTCCCAACTCTCTGATAATGCCACACAGACAAATGTTCATTAAGATGAGGACTGATTACTTTTTCACCATGGTATTTGCAGGTGATTTGAGACTCCGTGTTAATACAGGTCATTGAGATGGAAAGGTTGGTGATGCTGCCTTTTGTGCTGTTAAACCCTCAAACGTTGTTCCTGGATTACATGTTTATAGACCATATTTTCATACTGATTTACGTCCTTAAGTAAATTCTAGATCTCAAACTTCTCTTCATTATCAAACATAACTTGAGATAAAAGGAGACCTTGGACTAATGAATGAGTTTGGCTTCTGCAGTGTGCCTAGGACACTTTTTTTCTCTGGACCACAGACTCCTGTGAAGTGCTGCCACTGACATTCTGGCAGAGGCTGGAACAAGAAAAGGAAATCTCTCCAGAGGAGACCTGTAGGGTCGAACTCATCAGCCCCTAAGTAAGAGAAACCTATTCACCCATAAACATGATGGCTGCAATTGGGCCTTTGCATCTGCATTGTTTTGTTCTGTGTTACATTTTTAGGATTGTGCCGTGGTTGGCAGCTTTGTTGCCCTGAGAGGCTAAGACATGATGAGAGTGGTATGAATGCTCTTTGCTTACTGAGGATTTCAGGAAACTGTACAAGATGGAACTCCCAGGATTTTCTCACATCAGAAGAGACTTGTCTTGCAGAGAGAATGTAAAGTCTCTGATCCAGCCCTAGACAGAGACTTAAGCAATGTGTGGAGAGGAGAGAGGAGTTGAACGTATGGTGTTTAAGAAATGATAACTTTGCGTGTTTAAATGATAATGAGAATTATAGAAGTGAGATCTTGTGGCAACCCATTTGGTAGAAACAAGAACTGAAGCTAATGGATCCTGAACAAAACATGACAAGCAGTAAAGCATTTGCTGAGATAAATTTATATCTAGGTTACAATAGAAGTTGGTGCTGCAAAACCCTGTTTGTTTACAGTTACAGTGGCAGAAGTACATCAACACTGTGACCACACTGAGGCTGCAGATGGCAATTACATCTGTTCTGATATCGAGTATGGAAGGATTAGTACCTGGTTAACTGAAAAGGCTAGTAGAGAACTTATGAAGACATTTTGACTTAACTGAGAAGTCAGAATAGTCTGTTTCTTGCTGGATCGGGAGTAAAAAAAAATAGTAAATTAATGTAAATTGTTGTCTGTTCCTGTTGCTGTTCCTGTTAGCTTTTACCATTTATCCTTCCCCTCAGTTTGTATCCTGTAACACAACAGATCTCCTGTATGGAGTGTTGTAGATTACAATCTCTTTAATCTTTTTCTTGTTTCTATGTAGTGTTACTACATTTTCCTCTTCTTTTCCTGCTGAAGAAATTCAGCTCTCTTCAAATATTCTTGAGTTTTATTATTACTGCTATTCTTCCCTCTTTTTGGTTCTTCTTCAGTACCTCCTTATCAAAGGCCATGCTCAGACCTTTATTTCTTGTACAGTATCCTTGCTTTGTCCTGCTGTAGATCTACATCTCAACTGTTTGTCACCAGCTTTTCTGTCTGTGGTATGGGAAGCTGTTTTGGTATAAGAGAAACAAACAACACCCAAACAACAAACCACTGTGCTACACCAGCAGCCTGCAGTGGTGTAGTTGTCCCACTGTTGAGCTGATAAAGCCAACAATGCTGAAGCATTCCTAGTTTTGTGCTTTGGACTCCTTCTCTGAGTTGTTTTCCTGATTTGTCTGATCAGCTTTGTGCTCTGAGAGCAACTGTTCCGCTGGTGAGAGTTACAGCAACTAGATCTCCATCTTTCCCTAGCATAGTCAAAGCAATAATGATGACTACCTCTGCCTGCATTTCCTTGGCAAGCTTCCAAGAAATATGTGTACTTAATTATAATTTGCTCTCTGCGGTCAGCAGGAATATCTTAGCTTTCAGTATTTCAGCAGTATCTCTACAGCTGTTTTTAAGTCTTCACCTGTTCTCCTATAGAACAAGGTTACAATTGGGTTGAATATATGCAGCATTGATGATTGCATTTATTGTACATGCAGTGAATTCTCCTTTCATTTGCTGCTTCATCTGTCTGTTTTGACTTAAAAAGAGGAAAAAACAAAACAAAACACTTCTACCACTTTCTTTTGGAAAAATAGTATCCACTTCCTGTGGAAATCTTTCACTCCTTCCTTGCCTGCGCATCTAGTGTGTCACATTAAAGCTGTTACTGAGTTTTAGGCAGAGAAGCAGTTATCTGTCAAATTGCTTCAAAAGAAACCACAAAATGAGCAGGTCATAAATCCAGAAGGAGCACAAGAGTGGGAATATGAGACCTGCAATATGTAATGTGACTCTTTCAGACCAACCTCCCCTATTGCCACCCTGGTGCTAAATATACTGCTGGTGTCCTTGCAGGAAACCAAATGCACAGAGCTGGGAAAGGCAGTGGGCAGCATTAGTTTAGGGATTATTTCATTTCTGTAAATTTCCTTGATGATACACTAAAGAGAGAGTAGCTAAATTCTCCTAATTGTTTATTTGTGACTGCGGTGGTGAGGTTTCACAAATATCAGATCATCTTAATCAAATGTCTAATTTTTAATCTAGCATTTTAATTTTTAAAGAGATTTTTGTTAAGAATTGTCTTTGTAAAAAAAATCCAGATACTTATCTATCTTGCTCTCCAGGAATTCCTATTTTAGATTAAGATAAGTGAAATCTGCATTTGCAGTTCATGAATGAGTGTTGTAAGGTAGGAAGGTTATTTCAAAGAGTTTAGCTTGCCTGTGGCATTTGTATTAGATAAGTGATAAGTCAACTCTATGTTGTATTGCATTTTACACAGCATGCAGATAACCAACCTAGTGAGTCCTGGAATGAACCTTTCCCTACTGTTGGTGAGGTGGTGTTTTGAACTTTCTAACTTCAGGAGATGTAAGGAAAAGAAATATTGAAAAACACAGATTTAGATTAACTTGAAATTAATTTAAAAAATCCATATGAATTCTTATTGTATATATAAAATTGTATATAAAAATAGTAGGTGAACTTTGAAGAGCAGTTAGCAGCTTTTCCAGATTTCATGTTTTTCACTCATCTCTATTTTTTCCATCCAGTTTAATGATTATGCTTTGTTGTTTCCAAACTGAATTTTTAGGAAAATGTGTAATTTTTATGATTTTCTATTTTGTACCTTTAGTGCTACTGATGCCGTACAGGAAGGCCATCCAGGGTTGTGATCAGCACCTCTTTAGAATCTTAAGCTTCCTTTTCACTGATGAGAGACTCGCTTTGAGCTTTCACATCTTACTCTCCTTTGAACTTGCAACAAATTCCCTCAAATACTTATGATACTTAGATATGGCATTGCAGCACACTTTTCATGATCTCTCTCTATCTTGCTGTTCAGCAAATAGTTCAAGTGTTTTCTTTCAGCTTTTTTTTTTTTTTTCTTTTTTTTTTTCCCCCCACAGAATTTTCTGGTTACTCCATTGGTAAATGAAGTATTTAATGGCTTCTAAAAATTAAATGTTGGGTACAAGTTGATTGCGAAATTGGGTAGATTTTATAATGTGACTTATTTCAGTGTTTTGAACATACAGTAAGTTTCACTAAGTTATCGTGAGTAACAGTTTTTATATCTTGTTTTTAAAAGACTTGTAGCCCCATCCCAATGCATGTGGATTACTCATGTCTGAATTTGATGCTGATCCCAGGGCAAGGACCTGCAAGTGGTGCCACGCTGTGGGTCATGGCTTGCATGTGGGAGCACTCATGTCAGGTTGTGCCTCATGTGCCCCATCCTCTCCAGAACCACAGCGTCGAGGGACAGTGAAAGGACCAGTGGAGCATCCCTCTCCCTTGCCACTGCAGGGGACAAGACTTGTTTATGAAACTAGAGAGCCTCTATGAAATTTAAGCCATTCAGCTTTTTGCTGATTTTCCATTCTAGGCCTTACAATGAAATTACTGCTGGATGAACTCAGAGAATCACCTTGTGGTTTTGAATTAGAGTTTCTCCAACTACAAACTTGAGAGGTAAGAGTTAAATTATTTTGAGATATTGAGATGGAAAGAACCATGATTATTACAGCTGTACAGCTTTCTGTTAATGTCAGAAAGGGACACGCTATGGTCTTGCATTCAGAAAGAATCAAATGCTGTGAAACTAGTGGGAGTGTAACAATAGCATGAGGAATGCTGGTAAAATACCAGCATGACATGGCTTGAATTAGAAATATTGTATATTTGCCACATGTTAGAAGCCACTAACTACAGTGGCTACTGTAACTGATTAAGAATTGTATGGGAATCTGCTTTCAATATCTGTGCTTTAAAAATATCTTGGAATGTAATACTGGAAAATATATTTCCTGAAGTCTGCCTCAACACCATTTTGTCACTGACTGATTTCTGGTTTTGTTCTTTTTTCTTTTTTTTTTTTTTCTTTTTTTTTTTTAAATTATTATTATTTTTACTGCAGATTCTTCATTTTCTTTTCCAAAGAGCTAACATTATCAGAGATTACATGCTGAAGATCAGCTGATAAGACATTAGTTTTGGTTTTTTTTTTTTTTTATTTAAATATATCTCCTGGGTCTGTACTTGAAGTGCCTTGAAACTTAAACTCAGCCTGAGTAAAGCTTAGTGAATGCTTTAAATTATTATCCTCTACTTAGTACTAAGGAAAGGAATACTGTTCCAAAAGTATAATCATGGTTACTTTTCTTTGGTAGGGACTTGACCAGCATTCAGTCACTGATACTGTCATTTCTGCCCTGTGGGTTTGAAAGGTCAGTGAGAAGATTCCTGTGTATCACAGAGAAGAGTAAAATAGCAACAGATCTGTGAATATAAGTTACATCTCTGACACAGATTTCTTCCATAGTGTAGAACAAATTTATTTCCCATATTTTTTAGCCTACTCATCAGCTATATAAAACCTCTGAGGTGTATATGCTCGCAAAATACTCTAAAGCAGCAAGATAAAAGTTTAAAAATCCTTTAAAAATTTTTTGGTGAGGCCTCAGCCTCCCTCTGGAGTTGTCTGTATATTTACCATAGGCTTAAATCGTTCAGAGTTAGGTTTAGACCATAGGACATAGCTTGTTGCACCTTTATCTGCATTCAGGACACCTCCTTCCTCCTGGGATACTCAACAGTGGATAGCTGTTGAGTGACACTGCTTTGTGTAACATGGTTAACATAATCTTCTGTAACTTTGCAATGTAAAACTTGTCCCCAAAATTCTTCAGCCAGTTTCCAGACCCTTCTTTAGCTTCCCAAAATGTCTCCTTTTCAGTAGCTTTTCATCATGCTAATTCATAGCCCACTGCTCCTTTTCTCACATTGTCTTTATTCCCCCTAAAATAAATCTCTCCTTCCCTGCCCTTACTTAACTGTCTTGTAGAGCTTACAGACAGGCTATCCTCTGAATTCAATGGCATTAACACTTACTGACCTACTGTGTCATTTCTTGAGAATCATGAGAGCTAGTCTGACTGTTGACTCAACTATGAGCGTTGTTATTTTTGTAGCATTGATATTTTTCAGCTCTAGGAGCTTTTATGTTTTCTGTATGAGCCTACAGAATCATCTAGTCTAGCATTGTATACAACATAATCCATGCAAATAAATATAATAAGGAGAAGAAGCGTCAGGTACTTATGGTCATTTATGGCTGTCAGCTGAAATACACTGTAAACTAGTTTTAGGTATTTTGTTGAAAAAAAAACTGATCTTAAATCTTGAGCAGTGTCAGAACGTTGATAGCAAGCTTGCAACGACCTACAGTATGATGTCAAGAGAATTAATCATGTTAATTCCAGGAAATTTAAAGTGACACCTCTCTTTGTCCACAGTAGAAGGGAAACTAAAAAGAGGCAACGTTTGATTATACTCATTAGTTAACAACAAAGAAAAAAAGAAAGAAAAGTGGCCCTAAGCATTGTGAGAGGAGAATTAGGATTATATATCAGGGAACTACTAGCCAAGGAAAGCAGCTGCCAACTGAAGCTTTGGAATCAGCAGCACTGAAGATATTCAGAGCTAGGCTAGACGTCCGTCTATGAAAATGGGATAAAGAAATCAGTCCAAACACAATGTAGGGATAATCCAACAGAGTGCTCTGCCAAATTTCTACCCCAAATAGTGTATGATTTAGTTGCAATAGAAAAGGAAGGCATTTCTGCTTGCTAAATCTTTCACTGTTTTAATCTTAAAAGCAAAAAAAATTTTTTTTTTTTTAAAAACAAACAAACAAAAAAAAAACAGAACTTAGGGTTAATAACTTTTTTATTTTTTACTTCAGTAGCGTTTAGGCTTTGCTGTGGTTTCCAGACACACTGATCCTAGCTTAGACTGTTGTTACATTTTTTCAAAATTAATATGTGTATATATATACACACACACACATATAATAAAAAATAGGTCTTAGAATGAAAAATTGTTTCACAATGTCTTTTCATAGGAGTTTTCTGGAGATTGTCAAATCATTCATACCAAGCCTGAGGAAAGACTGTCAGAAGGATATTTATTTGTTAGAGGTATGTAGGATAGTAAGACTGGAGGGCTAGGATGGTTATAATGGTGTGGTTAGGTGTTTAGCCTATGTCACAAGTTCAAATAGAGGCCAAGAGGGATATTCATCATTCATTACTACTGAGTTATTATTGAAATGGGTGGTGACCTACTCCTAGTGGCCAGGCAGACAGCAGTGCAGTATTCAATACCAAAGTAAGCCGGCAGGCTAGCACTCAGCAAGAGCTGGGGTCCAGGTTTTTAGGGGTGTCTATCCCTTTAATATACAGGAAGTTGCCTACTGCAGTTTTGGACAGTTTGAAGGTGCTCACCCGAGACTGCAGTTAAGTGGAGTTTCACGTACCTGAGATCTTTACAGAGACTAGGTAGACATTTGTCTGGAGCATTGAGCACCTTTAAAATTACAGCCTAGAATCCTCAAGACGTTTTCAATGAAACTGATTCACCATTTTTCAATGCAACCTTAATAAGCCTCTTTTTTCCTCATTGTTTAACACAGCACATACTGTGAATGAAGAGAGATGACAGTTTACTTGTTTTCAAGTATTTTTCAAGTATGCTGCTGCAGGCATAGTCTCCTTTCACAGCAATGTCTTCCAGTACAGGAGTCATATCACAGATAACAGACTAGTACAGAGATGGAGCAGATAACAGTTTTAAAGAAGCTATTTCAGACATAGAATTAGTTTTTAAATAACAAATTGATCTTCAGATTGAGTAGCAATTTTCTGTAGATATGTGACATACAGAATTTAACCACTGTAACCACAGTACTGTCTGTACCTTGCATTTCCTTATTTATACTGTAAATATTAGTGCTAGCTTCTAAGAAATGCCAGAATAGATCAAGGATGACTCTTTGCAAAAGTAAGCCTGCCACATTGTCACTGTGTTCTGAAGACATATCACGTGGTGGGAGGGAAGTATGAATATCTGCTATCTGATGTATACAATTGAAAAGGGAAAACACAGAATGAAATCATCAAGCCACATTAGCCAAAGTGAACAGATAAGAGAGGGTATAACACTGGAATTGTAAACAATCAAGACGAGATTACATTTCCATGTATAACAGTGTGCACCTTTAGATGTGGAAACGAAAATGTTAATACTAGTGGCTTATCACTGGAAACGTTCAAAATGCTTCAAGGATGGGCCTATAATAGTTATGTGTATAACCCTCCCTCCCCTGCTATTTTGTGTACTGTTTGAGATTGTTCTCTAAGTAACTCAGGCCAGAAAATGAAACTCAACTGACCTCCATTCAGACTCATGCCCATGCGTTTGCTCTCTGCCCCCACACCCTGCTTCCTCTGCTGTGCCATAAGCACTTTGTATCACCACTGGTTAGCTCCAGCTTTCCCTTACTTTCTCCTGCCCACCTGGGATCCCAGCACCCTTCACAGCCACGGCACAAAAAGAGTCGCATACACGTGCTGCTCACAGTCTCTGTCTTCCTCCTGTTGGTGAAACCACATGTGCTCAAAGTTGTAAATAAAGGTGTCAGATAAAATGCGAGAAATGTGGCAGAAGCTCTATTTCCCTCATTCCTTCCCCCTCTACCACCAAGAGAGGAAACCACAATGACAAGAAGAGCACAGTGTTTCTTCCCAAGGACACTCATTTCTGCAGTCAGTAGCTCACGTTTACCCAGATTTTGCTTTCTGTGTTGATACACATTGAGCTTAGCAAAATATGAGGCCTACTTGGACATTTGAAGTCAGTCGAGTAGGACGTTTTGGTGGAGAAAACAGTCAAGTCGGCTACCACATAATGGGAGCTTTTATAGTCTACCATTCAGGCAGGGCTGCTGAGCCAGCTCACAGTAAGAATGTGCAAGTTGTGCTGTTTTTACTTGCTACTGGTCTAGCATTGACCTGTTTGGAATAACTCATTCATTCTTGCATACACATGTATACACCTCTCAACAAGATTTTGGGTGGATTTTCTGAAGCTGATGGTTTTCTCAGAAGACTTTGCCTGTGGTGAGCACACTTCATTACCCTTGTTGTGCCACTTCATAACTTCTTGTTAACGTTTTGTATTTTACCCACTATTCCAGTGCAGTGTTTTTTATTCCCTGGTTTTCAGCCACCACCCTTGTCCATTTTTCACTCTTTCTAGCTTGCATGCGGACACCATCTGGCATTACCCCCAGGGTTTCCTAGACAAGGGCAATCTAGTTAGCCTTGTGAAATTCAAACCCCAGGCAAAACAAAAACTGCATAAAACACCATAAGATACTTTTTCTCACTTCTGTATGAGGAGCAACTACATTACTTAGGGCAACTGTAAGAACAGAAATTTCATCTCAAAATGAGTTATCCTCTCAACCAACCTATTCTTTTCCCCAAAGTTTTCATTTCAATTTAATTGAGTTACTACAACTCTTTTCCAGTCAAGCGAAAGTTTGACCAGCTTGTGTGTAATTACAGGGCTTCAGAGTAAAATATCATGTAAGGAACTGTCTGTAACAATGCCTGAAATAAAGTAGATTGGGAACAGATTTAGTACAGAAATTAGGAAGTCATCCCAGCTCTCTTTTCTTTTAGAAATAACATATTGCAAATAAAATCTCTGAGGCAAAATTCTGGACAAAGACATTCTTTTGAAAAGAGACCACAAGATTCCTGGTTTTCTTAATGGATAAAGCAGAAAGGATTGGTCTCAGTCTAGGACACTCGAAATGCTGATCCTTTTGAACAATGTGGACAAATACAGAATACTGTCCAATGTATTCATCCTTGAGGAGAAATAAACAAAATTTGTGTGCTCTGACTGTCTCATAGGAGTTGAAAAAGAGCCCCTCCCTTTCTTTTTCATGTTTGCATGTTTTCAGAGTTTCCAAAGGAATTCACTTGGGCCAAGCATTTTGAGCAGTATATCTGATTTTATCTGAAAAATGATGATCTAGTTGCACAGTTGTGAGGTTTGGGGCCAGAGATTCTATTATTTATAGCTTTAAGAATTTGAAGTTAGTATGGAGCTGTGTACCTACACTGGTGTAATTCCCTATTGCTGGCCTCAGAGTAAAGACTGAGGTGAATTCTCTATGACAAAGTAGGCTTCTGAACTATAAATACTTGTTTCTGACTTTTCAAGTTTGTTATATTTTGCTCTCTCTTCTGACTTCACAGTTACTTTACTGTTGTGTGTTTTCACAGGAAAAATTCATATTGTTGCCTCGCTCTGACAGCACTGGGGCAGTGATATGATGAAGACAAGCAAATTTTCCATTGCTGTATATCATGGAAAGGTAAAATGTAGCTGGCCACTTCCTCAGTTTGGCAGTCACAAGTATGTGAAAAGAAGGTATGTGCAGCAATATTTGGGGAACACTGATACAAAACATCAATTTTCAACCTCGTTATATGTCCTGTGACAAGCAACATATGCTGTGGCCTGTTGTCAGTTTGATTGAAAATGCATGACATTTAGATGATCCTATAAGATGCAGGTGACAGATATCAACTGTATATGATATCAATCATATGTCAACTTTTGCTTTGCAGTGATCCTTGGTGAAAACTTCATTTTGTTTTCGTAAGCCTGCCTTGATGGTATATGGTAGATTTATATTTTGCCAAGATCAAAAGACCAGAATTAGACGGGCTAATGTTAGCAGGGGAGGTGGTGTCTGAAATTAATTACACAGCTAGAATTTTGCAGCCTGGAACTGAGTTTTTGTTGCTCTGTAAACTTCTAAAATGGTTCCCTTTTCTATGGTGTATGGAGAAATATCTAGCTGGTTGAAAATGTTGCGTCAGTCAAAAGACACAGTTATTTATCAACAGTCTCAGAATGGTTAACTTTTTTAAAGAATGTGAGATGTAAATCACCAATCTCTGCTTTTAATGCATGGGTTCCTTTTCAGTCCTAAGGAGTTTGGAGCAGGAGACCACAACATGTTTGAAGTAATTTTGATGTCCCTTTTGCATATTCCTAAGGTATCTAAGATGTGGCTAATAATAATAGCAGGTGTTGTCTTTTTCTCTCAGCATGTGGCATGAAAGTAGTGTGGCCACATAGCTATGCATTATTTACATGGTGTCAACACGTCAGCAAGTGGGATGGCAGAGAGCCAGGTTAAATCACTTCAGATTTTAAACACAGGACACCGAATAATAACAGTGTCACACTCGAGGACACAAGAATCTGGCAAATCAGCAGTAGAACAGTGTGCCAAGTTCATTTGAATGGCTTTTTTTTTTTTTTTCTTTTTTCCCCCCACTGAATGATGAAGGAATCAAAATTGAGAGCCAAGAAAATGTAATTGGCTTTTTTTTTTTCTTTCTTTTTTTTTTCCTTTTTTTTTTTTTTTTTCCCCCAAAGTAGAAAATTGTATTCAGAAAAGAACTTTCTTTGATTACTTAATATGAAGATGCATGGATTTCTGCCCTTCATCCAGGGGTGTCTACTCCTGACAATGCACAACCACACTATGGTGCATCTGTCAGCCTTTTGTCTTTGTTTCCATAAGTGGTAATTCTATTTGATCTTTTTACATTCTTCCATTAGCTTTTTGTAGAAGGTAACGCAACAGGTCTGCAATCAACCAATGGGCCCTGTAAATGTATTTGTAAAAGGCAGTTACATTATTTAGAATGGGTGCTTTAAGGGTTTGAGGCTTCAAGTGAATGTGAAGTGAATGGAGCACATTTAGGAAGGCTGCTCTCAGCCATTACTACTTTTGCAGCAGCTCTGATATCTGTATCACCCCTACGACTTGTTCACCTTACCAGCTTGCAGAAAGCTAGCTCAGCATAAGTAAAAAATGGATGGTGTTCTATTGGTTTAGTAATCCAACCAGGCTCACTCGAGGGCCACATAAAAGTCAGAGAGGATGGAATAGAGGCCTGCATGCCAGAGGATGTGGGGAAAAGTGAAGGCAGCAGGGCTGCTGGCTGAATTCAGCCATACTGTGAAGCTTCACTCTAGAATGCTTAATGCACAAGGAGGGGCTGATGGAAGATTAAAAGAAGCATCCAAAATACTGGGATTCATTTATCTCATCACCGTAATACCCTTTTTATGAAACTAGAGCTGTTTATTCTCATAAAACCCTTTTGCTTTTCTAATTTTAAGGGACAATGCAGCCATTGGAATCCATGCACAGTTCTTTCATGTTAAATGCTTAGTTCAACATTCCACTTCCATTTCCTGGTAGAAAATGTTTTATGTGAAAGCAACTTTAACCTTTCAAAAGGGTTCATTTACTGTTACGTTTAGTATCAACTTTCCAAAAAATGCAGTCTGCATTTGGCATATTATGGTTTCTGGTTTTAATATTGGTTTAGGAAAAAAGAGTCATGTGCCATAAGTCAGAAATAAAATATAGCACCAGAATTCTCTCTATATGTGAATTCACCCCATGAGCAAATGGTTTAAAGTAAGTCCGATCACTTAAAGCCAAGACTTGGGCTCAATCTAACCATGAACCAGCTGGTAACAAATAACACATTCAACTCTCAGCCACAGGAAACTGTTAGGTTGCCTTTTTACAGACGACTACAGCTCTAAAGCTCCAGAAGCACGAAGGAATATCATACGGACTTGGAAAGTGTTGAACACCTACCATATGCACATAAAGAAGGGTAATAAAGATAAAAGGCCTGAACAGAGCTTTAATTCCTAAATTTCTGCTTTTGATTTATCAGCTACTTCTGCATTGCCATGATTTTCTTTGGCCTAAGATTAGGTAGAAGATGCTTGATCAAATCAGTCAAACTCGGGCTTCCCGCTGTGAATCTAACAGATGATAAATATGAACTTGTGAGTACTTTCTTGCTTTCTTTTCAGCATTTTTGTGCATTCATTTCTGAAGTGTTGACTGTGGTAACAATGCACTGCAGTAGACAGTTCCTGACTGTCTGTCCCTGCTGGGATGATGCTGCTGACATGGCAAGAGGGATGCTGAGTTAGAAGAGCTGCATCAGAATGGCTCTGAATTTGAGCTAGGGCTGACATGGTTGGGTGCGGCACCATGAAGACATGGCTGAGACACTCTGTGGACCTTTACAGCACCTTTGCATAATGCTGCAGTGTGCTGTGTGACCATCTCAGCTGCCAGGTTCGTCTAGGAGTCTCTGTGTTCTATTGCAATGTTTGGAGATATTCTGAGAATTACAGTTCAACAGGACTTCTGCCATCACTAAGCACCTCTTGCAGAAATATAGTGCCTTCATAGAGGCCTAGCCATGAGTGAGACAATAAAGACTAATTCTCAGTGCTGCTGAGCTTCAGTTTCTAATAAAGGACTCAGAACTTGTAAGGGTAAAGCTTCAAAGTGCATACCGATTTACAGGGGGAGGGCAGATAAGAGGGTTGTAGCCCACCCATTAAGTCCACCTGGTCTTAATATATGATAGCAGTCAGTCTTTGCGCGACACACTCTTTCCATATCCTACTTTGTTACAGGGAGTGAGATTTCCAAGAACTGGGTTGACAGTGTGCTTATCAAAGTTGGGTACGCTACACAGCCTAAGTCTTTCAGTCATACATAATAGTTTTATCACCCCTTGAACTGCAGCAGCTAAATCTGACATTGATGGTGAAGCAGACCCTTAGAAAAATAATATTTATGACATTTAGTAACAGTAATCTTTTCTGATGATGAGTGCACGTCCAATGCTTTGAAGATGTAAAAGTCTGCAAAAATGCAAATTATTATTTTATCTGGAAATGTGTTTTGTGGTATCCCAAAAAGTACTCTCATTTTTCATTCTTTTTTTCATGCGCGTGCAGGAGTTCTCATGAATTTTCAGCCATGAGTCCATCTGGGAATAATTCCACTGAGAGAAGAAGGCTTCCATTCTATCAAGAAAAAAGGCTGCATGGAAATCACGGAAAGCTACAGAAAAAAGTATCAGTCATTGTTTAAAAGCATTGTGGCCTGTGAAGATGGAAACCAGAATGGGAATTTGTTTCCAAATTTTATAAGCTTCTAGAAACTAAAATGATGAGAAACAAATGCAAAAAAGTTCACAGAAGTACCAGTTACTTAAAAAAAAATCTTAAGTCCTTATTCTTTTATGATGAATAAAACTGATTAGAAGGATATTAATTAACCGGAATTATAGCCATCATTTAAACAGGTAGAGATATTCCTAGTATGTTTGGGTTGCCAACTGGATTAGTTTTATACTTCTCAGTTGCTAACAATGAAGTTATCAGCCACTGGAACAAATTATTGAGAGGAACAGTGAGCTTACCATTTCTTCAAGTCTTCAAACTGAGAGTGAATGGTATGCTTTAGCAAACAATGGAGACACAGCTGGGTGAAATTATATGGTTGTACTAAAGAACAGGAAACATGAGATGTTCTATGTGGTCCTTTCTAGCCTTAAGAGCTATAGATCTATAATTTCACAAATACCATTACAAAGAATTCCTTAGAAGTAGTGATGACCACAGCAATAATCTGAATCCCTCTCCTGATTTGGGGTAGATTGTTCTAAAGAATTTTGAAAAATTACAGGCTACGGGACTGTTGCTATGTGGTACTGTCATTACAAGGTTGTGTAACTAGCATAAAGGGGGCACTTTGTAATTTTACAGTATTAGAAATCCCTTTTTGTGGACTAAAGAGACCCTTCTTCTCTCCAAAAGAGCTCATTGTACTTCAGTTCATGAATGAGTGTATAACAAGTAAGCATGTGTACTGCTTTCCTATGTGATGCATTTCTCTCACTAAAATGTGTTAGATTCACTTAGTGAAAAAAAAATATCCACAGAGGAAATTATAAGATATTGCTAATTAACAAAGGCTATTTCTAAGCTAAACTAATTTTCTTCTTGTAGGCTGACCTGAGACAAAGAGAACGCTTTGCCATAGCCAGTCTTCCACTTGAGGACAGCTAAATCATTGTTTTCCATATTTCCAGCAACCTTTGGCATTTGTCACTGTCAAAACTTAAATACAGTGGGATATTTGGAAATTTGGGAAAGGAATGTATAACTGACTGAACAATTGGACATGAAAAGAAATGGTTCTTCAGATTTAGAAAGATGAATAAATTAACTGACTACATGTTTAGAAGGAAGACTGTGTCATTTCATGCTGATTCTCAAACACCATCCTTACATATCCATCTTCAACGTTGTCTGATTTAAAATAAACATAAATAAAATAAATATATAATAAAATAAATAAATAAATAAAACAAAGAAAACCACTGCCACCACCAACAAAAATCCGAAAACAACCCCCAAAACTGTAGCCTATGCTATAAAAGACTGTGACTGTATGAACAGCATGTCTTATTGTCAGAAATCACAATGGTCACAAAAGGTATTCATTCAGAATGGTTAAACTATCTCATAAGTCATAAGAGGAAATAACTTTTCTGACAGTATGACTTTCATCCAGAAGGATGGGTTTGGCAGTGCAGCTGAGACATCTGGATTGTCCAAACTAATGCTAGAAAAAATGTAATGATGTAGCTTTTCAAATGGTGACAGGGGAAACTGATGATCTAGTGTCCAAAATGGATATGCATAATTCCAGATGCAGATTCTTGGATTTTAGATTGTAGTTAATGGTTAGTAACCTTTGTTTCTATCCGCATAACTGTTGTTCTCAAATATATGTACATTGTGCCTTAATAACTACCTCTACTGTTCCTCAGTTAGGGTGCTGTCTTCAAGACATGCTTTTTGCCAATTGCCTCTCAGGTACGGGTAGGAGCTGATCACACTATGAGAGAAAATCAGAAATCTGATCATTTGTCGAATGCAGGAATTAGTTTATTTTATCAAGCACTCTTTTACTGAGTTTCTTAAATTTATGACTCATGCATATTCAAATTAATTCAGCTTTTTCTTGCTACCATGTTTCATACTCTGGGGAAAAGATGTTTGGAAAAGCTGGATGCTATAAAAGGGGTGTTAGCTCTCTTAAGCTTTTCAAATATATTATCCTTTACATTTTCTTTCACCTGGTTTATTCTAACAGGCTTACCATCAACAGTGACTATCTTATTTGCCATGCACAGGCCATGTTAAAATACAGGTGCGTATATTTAATACATTAATTTCGTGAGTGTAAAAGAGCAATTTTAGTTTGACTTGTTTGAAGAAACTCAGTTTTAGTCCCTTAGAGATAATCTGAGTAGATCTGTTTTAAAATATACACTGTGGAAAATAAGGATACATTTGCACATTTGAAAGTTTGGAGGTCTGAACTATACTTCTATTCACCAAGGTGGTTCTCAAAAGTTACTTCTGAGCCACATAGCAAGGAAAATAGAATAAGATTGATCTGCTAATTATGTTCCCTTTGTTGTGTGAGAACAGTTTTTTCATCCCACAAAGGTTCTGTTGATCTTGAAATTTTAGGCCTGGCATGGAGCTCAGTGACTTAAGAAACAAGCAAGCATATTATGTCATCACAATGTTCTTTTTTTTTCTTTTTTTTTTTTCCTTTTTTAAAATTCCTTTTAATATAAACTAAATTGAATTTCAACAGAAGATGTTTTTAACCACAAACCCAAGGCTTTTTTTTTTTTTTTTTTTTTTTTTTTTTTTTATATGTTGAAATGGCACAGTTCTAGAATTTCAAAGCCTTTTTTTTTTTTTTTTCCAAACGTTTTTCAGGACAGGAAGTTCTTCTGGAAATAATTTCAGTTTTTATGAATTTTCATTTGTGTCCGTCTCTCTTCTTTCCCTTTTGAGAGCCTTATTTTCATGTTGGTGAGAGTATTGACAGTTAAATCGGAGTTCTTCTTTTCTATATGATGAAAGATTGAGAGACCTGGGTCTGTTCAGTCTGGAGAAGACTGAGAGGAGGATCTTATTATTGGTGTTTATAAATATCTAAATTGCTGGATAAAGTGATGCATATCTAAATGGATGGGACCAGGCTCTTTTCTATGGTGTACAGTGATAGGACAAGGGGTAACAGGCAAAAACTGGAATATAGAGATTTCCATGCAGACATGAGGAAAAATTTCTTTGCTTTGAGGGTAACAGAGCACTGGAACAAGAAGCTGCCCAGGCTGGTTACAGAGTCTCCGTTCCCGGAGGTATTTGAAACCTGCCTGGATGCTTGCTTGTGCAACCTACTGTAGGGAATCTACTTTAGCAGGGGATTGGAGTAGATGATATCCAGAGGTCCCTTCCAACCCCAACATTTCTGTCATTCCTCTACAAGTACTTTAGATTGTAATTGTTCTGTGTTTTGTTTTTCTATATTTTACATACTCTTCCATTTCAATTATTCATTCACAGTTAATAAACAAGTAGATAGGAGTAGTAATTTTATTAGCTCATTGAGCCCCTTTTCTTTACATCTATCTGGAAGAATAATTCACTGTCACTGATGAACTGTTTGTGTTGATGGGACAAAATCTGATGCCTTCAAGAAATGATTATTAATTAACCTCCCTTAAAATGTCTGGTAAAGGATGCTGGATTTTTATTTTTTTAATGGCAGTACTTGTACATGGTTGCAGTACACTGGAAACAAATGCTTTTTGTGATTTGTCTGAATGGATAACTTGTTCTGCTGAGAAGAAACTAATGCACAAGCTACCTTGCAGCTGGTGATGAGACCTCAATAGCTAAACAGAAGCACCAAGGTTTGGGTAAGTTCTTCACAAATACTACCAAATTATTCTACTGAAAGTCTCTATGAGAAAAGAATTACAAATCAAGTTATTTAAGAGCTCTGAAAAGCAAGGTTGATTCATAAGTGCTGAGTAAGGTTAAATAAGGAAGTTAACAAATAAGCAAGAAGAAATTTTTCTCTTTACTAAAACTAAGAAAGCCTGTTTCAGCTGTTTCTTCCTTTCTCCATTCCAGCTGAATTTTATTGTAGAAGGTCTACCAATTCAGAAAGCAAACGTTAGCTTATATATGAAAAGAATATTGACAATTACAATAGCTTATATCTCATAATTCCGTAGTTTGGTAGTAGAGTTTTATTTTATCCAGAAAAGTTGCATAATCTACTACATTTCTACAGGCGTTGTACAGCTTTAGTGTGTCAAGTCCATGGCAGAATCGACAGACCCTCATGTCCCTGCCTGACCACTCAGAGTTCCCATGCTTGACCTAGGCTTAGGGCCCCAGCTCAGCCCATGTCCTGTCAGCCACTACCCCAGTGAAGCTGCAGCAGTGTCAGGCTCCAGCTCCCCACTGCTCTGCTCAACCATGGGACCCAGTAGCCAGGCCAAGTCCTGGCTTCCCTGCATGGGAAGGTGCTTGGGGCTGGGACTGCCCCAGTACTGTGCTTCTGGTTGGGGAGGTGGGATATGGGACAGCCCCTGGCTGGTGAGGGCCAATCTTAGCAGACCCTAGGGAGCCTGATGTAGAGTTATTTGGTAAGCCCCTGCCACCTAAATTGTCTGAAGTTGTTGTTGTGTCCAGACATAGCATACAGTCATATTTCTAAAAGTACTTATGAGGCAATATTGGCCTCCAGAAGGAAAGGTCTCCTCATGGTAGAGAAGCTGTGTTTCACCAGAAAGTTTTCCTGATGAAAACAAATGCTGGAATCTGCCTGTTACCTTCATCATGGGATGTTCCCTGGGTTGAATGACACTGTGATGTGTTGTATCACAAAAATGCAGGTGAATCAAAAAGGAATTTTTCAGTTATCAGCTTTCTAAAATGAAGTGCAGGTTCATAGCTTTTCTACCCTGAATATAATTCTCGCTTTATGCTTAGCTGGGGAATAGCTGAGGTCTTCTAATACAGATGTTGCCTTTCTATAATAGCTTATATCACAACTCTTCTATCACAAACAGTGAAAGTTGTGGGAGGATGCCTGATTTTACTGGGTCTTAAAATCATAAAATTACTGAGGTTGGAGAATACCTCTATGATCATCCAGTCCAACCATCCACTTACCACCACTGTTGCCCACTAAACCCTGTGCCTAAGTACCACATCTCTACATTTCTTGAACACCTCTAGGGACAGTGACTCCACCACTCCCCTGGGCAGCCTGTTCCAGCACTGTACTCACAGAATTCTCCAATCTGTAGCTCAGATTGTATTAAGGATACACTTAAACATATATATATATATATATATATATATATATATATATATATATATGGGTAGGTAACTCTATAGCTTTCTTTCATCTTCTTTTGAAATGCAAAGTTCTGAAAGCATAGCAAATAGTCTGAAGTCTATCTGGAAAGTGATTAACTCTACCACTGGGATCAGACATGCTCTTTGCTAGACAGAGGAGGGGAAGTAGATACTCTCAATTTCAGCGTGTCTATATATATACCACGTATTACCAGTAGTACTCTTGTAAACAGGAGGAATTAGCAGCAGTCTCAGCAAAGTATCAGCTCTACTCTGTAGGCTCACAGACAGATGGTGCTTCGCAATGCGTCTCTTTTCAATTGAAAGTTCTGAAAGAAGCCTCTCTTTTTCCTTCCAGCATAGGAAACCTCTTATATTTCTTGTGTCAAGACCTCATTAGCAGCCACTCGTAATGCAAAATGGCAGCCCACAAATTGCAGCTACTGGGATATCCAGTTAGATGTGTCTTATATCCAGCGCTGTTCTGAAAGAAGTGTCTCCTATTTGATAACATTGGACCACAGTGTCAGGGGAAGATGTTGGTAGCAGCAGTAGAGGCTGAACCTTCCCACCAACATTCCGTTGCACCTTGTTGCCATGTGACAGAGGGCAGCAGAGGGGCAGTCTAACATAATGACATGGAAGTGCAATATGAAGCAAAGGTGTGTCACTGAATTCCTCCATGTGGAATAAATAGCAACTGCTGACTTTCATGACTCTTGCTGAGTATTTGTGGAGACCAAACAATGGATATAAGGACAGCGAGGTGGGGGTTGGTGCATTTCAGCAGTGGCAACAGTGACAGTGGGTCACCTCCATTGGCGCAGATTTTTATGAGCATGGCATTCATATTCTTGTTCTTCTCTGGTGCAGATGCATAGCTAATGGTAGTGACTGTGTTGAAAAGAATGTTTTAAGCTGAGAATTTGCTCAATCAAATAGTGTTATTATGCTCTTTGTATTGGTTGTAGTTTCTGTGGAAATAAATAGGAAGCATTATTTTCAGAGCAGCCTATGTATTATGAAAATTAAATGTCTGCATGTAACAGTGCGCTCTGGGTTTCATCCCTCACTGTCTGTATTAGTCAGTTACACTTTTCTGCTTTCTGGTTCATTTTGTATTGTTTCAAAACCTAAATTTGATGCTTAGCATCACTGGTATGTTTGGACTGACATAGCACTTGTGCATCATAACAGGGATCAAAGGAGAGATTTTTGTAAATGCAGTAAGGAGCAGCAGGGACTGCCCAGGGAGGTGGTAGAGTCACTGACCCTGGAGGTGTTCAAAGACTGTTTGGATTTTGTGTTGAGGGATATGGTTTAGTGAGAACTATTGGTGATAGGTGGATGGTTGGACTGGATGATCTTGTAGGCCTTTTCCATCCTTGGTGTTTCTGTAATTCTGTGATACCTTTTACTCTTGGAATGGAGGCAGGATGGTGAATTATGGGGAGTAGTTTTCTGTTAGGCACTATTTACAGCTGAATGCAGAGGAAAAACTTATATATGCACTAAAAGCTAAACATGAACTCTTTCTGTTTACTGGGTTATTGTGTACTTCATGCTTCAAGAAGTCCCAGCCTTTGTCTTTGGACATTTTTTCTTTTCTGCTTTGCAACTCAACGTCTGTACTTCCACACTTAGATCAGAATAGTTTTTTCAACTATTGTCGTCCAAACAAAGGTTGATATTGCCCTAACATTATACCTTAGCTCCTGCCTTCAGCTTAAATTCCTGTAGGATCAGCTTAGTAATTTAACTGAAGGTAGTTGTTGCTTGTTACATACCTTTGAAGAGCAGCATTGCTGATTTGCAAGAAGAGAAAATTTATTCTGGAACTAGAGCATGTTACTTTTATGTATATTTTGGAAAATCAAAAGGAAATAAGCAACCTTCCATTTCCTTTTCTCCCCATGCAAAGAAATGAAGCCATTTTAGAGAAGGATATTTAAGTTGTGCGGATGGATGGGATTATTTAATAAGTATTTGTTCTTTTTCTTTTATTACATGAGGTTGTGCTTTTCTTGGATCATGCAGATTCTTGTAAAAATGTAACAAGCTACTATTCTGAATGTAGCAAATAAGAAACAGATGGATCTCTTTAAAGAATAGTCTATCAGTAATATTAATGAGAACTCATGTTTAGAGACCAGGCACTTCCCTTTCCTTATGCCAGGCTTCTTAGTTTGAACAAAGAGAATCTTCTAGCACTGACTTGCACATGGAGTAGGAGAAAAACGCGGTCTTGGTTGCCTCAAAATAAAGCACAGCATTTTTTGTCATTTCAAGATCTGAAACCTTCTTGCCTTAGTTGAAGTGGCCTTGTGTTGTTCAGTTACCTTGCCTGGTGACACTCTTCTCGATAAAGTAAGGCTAGCGATATGAATGAATGGCTGCTATGGTGCTTCTACTTCTTCATGAACCTTGGCTCATATCACATGCTGTCTACTCACAAAACCTGACTTATCTGCTTGCTGAAAGCGAGCCAGCAAACACAGCTTTAGAAATGGCTGGAATATGCCCTTTTGAACTTATTAATCTCATGAATATAATATGCCAGGCCTTGGGCAAGTATCAGAGATACTCTGTGATTCTTGACTGCTCCCAAAGGTCTTATAGCAGAACATGTGATCTGCACAAAAGGTGCTCTTCAGAAAAATCAAGTAATAAGGCTGAGATGTTCCTTTACCAAGTGTATTTTCTTTTACTTGGGGTATTTCCAAAATGGGATGGGTGGGATGTACAGTACTTGTTTGTAGATGGAATGATAACTTAATCTAGATAAAGCACATACATACTGTTATTTTAATAAAAGAAAGTAGGCTTATGTTTAAAAGGGAAATATAATACGATAAACATCCTTTTTGTACTGGTCTGGTTATTTTTTTAAACTTTTGTCAAGTTTGAGGTATTTGCCTTCCAAAATAGAATTTTTGCAAGAGTCTGCATGTTTTATAATACCTTTTCCAGTATCTATTGAGTGAGCCAAAGATCTGTGGTCTAGTGGGCATCTCAGTTACAGCTCTTTATTGAGCCTCTAATACATTAGGCTTTAAGTCACACAGACCTTTCTCTTCCAGAGCACAGCTCTTGAGCCTTAAATGTTCAACTTCATCCAAGCTCCAAGGAAAACTCCACAAAATGAATCCAGTCTTACTTTAGTAATGTCCCCAACTCTTGGATGTCCATGATGTTTTGGTTTAACCTAATCAAAGTATGAAGAGCATGAAGAAGAATTTTTTTTTTTTTAAATTTCATTTTGATTTTAAAGCAACCTGGTGATGTGTGGAAAGAACTTACATTTTTGAACTGTAACTCTCCTTAGAGCATGAAGTCACGTTAGGATGCCCTATTTAGATTTTTCTGACCTTATCATACATCCCTCCTTTAATGCATCTTAGAATGACTTAGAATAACTAAAAATTTGATATTTGCAGTCATATTCTGTAGATGTTATTAGCATTTCTCTCAAATTGTAGTAAGATTACTCGCAGTAAACATGGTAGAGAACAGTGTGGAGCCAGATACTTGTGCCATTATCCAC